AGTGCCTATTCCTGTCCCCCTTCTTATTGTCCCAGGAATGTTTCTAAACTGCAAATGGATCAAAGCAGAAATACGTCCATGGTTCCCACTCCTTGGGGAAAAAAAGGAATGAGTGACAGTAGCCATGAAGAACATATACAGATCTACACAGAACTACTTACATGTCTCTAGCATTTACTCACTAAAATGCCAAAGAGTTCTTAACTCTTGGCGAAACAAGGATTCTGCCTTTGTGGAGTTTACAGCATAAACAAATGCCCTTCAGTGAGTCAGGTCTGATACTACTACAAGCGTCTCAGTCAGAGAAGAAAGGTCAATTCAGGTCAAGGGAAGTTCTAGGGATAAAGGTAATCCTTGAATTGAGCCTTAAAGGATGAGCAAAGATGTAAAGGAGGAAGGGTAATTTCAAATAAATGGAACGTATTTATTTTATTTTTCCACCCAGGTTCTTAAAAGTTTGTAAATAAAGAACCTAGGTTCTGACATGCATTTAACCTCCCCAAGTCTCAGTCGCTCCTATCACTTAGAACCATTATGAGAACTAAAAGTGATGACAGTATATGGCGGGGCATTTAAAAAGCAGTCAACACATTTCAATTATACAGAAATACATCATAATGCTGATCACAACAGTATATTTCCAGTGTCCAGCATTCTTAGACCAGAAAACGTAAATAAGAGAAAACAAAAATGAAGACAAAGTAAGAAAAACCAGTAAGAACAGAGCTAAAAAACCCATCACTACAAGGGTCTCCCTGGTGGTGCAAGGGATTAAGACACAACACTATGAGCCTGTCCACAGCCACTGCAGCACGAGTTCAATCCCTGGCCAGGGAGCTGACCCACATGGCGCAGCAGACCTCCTGTCTTGCTGGCTGCTCCCCTCAGCAGTGCATTGATCTGCCTGTTCTGCTCCCCACTCTGTCTCTGGTGAATCCTCTCTCACACATACCCCCCCACCCCACATCTCTGGCCTGCACCCCAGCTCTTGTTTGCATAAATAAGTAAAGTGCAATAAATAAAGAAAATAAAGTAATCTAGGAGTAATTCTTTATTAAAATTTAAAAAAAAAACTATTAACACAGGGTCAAATAGTTCTTTCTATACACCATGATGACATCCTCATGCTAGACATTACAACAGTAAAATAATTTATATTCATAATGATACTGAATCATAAATAAAATACTGAGTGGTTAAGTATGTTCTCTTTGAAAGGAATTGAACATACTACATATTTAAAAGACTTTCATCACAGTGACTAAAATAAAAATCTTGGGCCTCCCTGGTGGCGCAAGGGGTTAAGACACAGCCTATGAAGCTGTCTGCAGCCACGAGTTCGATCCCTGGCTAGGGAGCAACCCACATGGCGCAGCAGACCTCTCCTGACTCGCCCGCTGCTCCCCTCAGCAGTGTATTTCAGTCAATCTGCCTGTTCTGTTCCCCACTCTGCCTCTGGTGAATCCTTTCACCCCCCCACACCTCTGGCCTGTAAAAGGGGCTATCAAGTTTAAAAAATAAATAAAATAAAACTCTTGTTGAAGTATGATCCTTCACTTACTTTGACAACTGAGTCACATGCTAAATTATATGCTAAATAAATGTGTTAGGATGTTGTGACAGTTGCAGTTCAACCGACAGGAAAAAAGAAGCCATGATTCAAATACAAACTCACACACTGTACTGACCAATGAAAAAAATGACATGAAGCACCTAGGCAGGCTCAACTGCCTGTCTGACTAGAAGAAATTACTTAAGAGAAAAGGAAAAAGCTATGTCACATTGGTTTCCTCAGAAGACAAATAAATAAAGTGAATTGGGAACACTGAAATCATTAACTCCTCTAGAATAAGTCACTGTGACACACAGACACATTCCTACTTAGGAAGGCTTGAATCAATAAATTATGCAGTAAAACGTTACTAAGATAGCAGCATATCTAGTGAAACTTTTGAAGTCAATTTTCTTTAAGCTACAGATGAGGTTAACATCACTACTACCAAGGGTTTTATAAATTAATAACATAAGGAGCAGTATACAAAAATGTTTAAATTACAAAAAGGTGTGCAATAAATGTTCTGGAGAAGTAATCTGTGATTTCTCCACTTCAAAGACTTTCAAACACTAAAAATACTACTAAACTGTTTTTCTAGTCTTAATTTTCAAAAACAATGATATAAAAAATTATCCCAATTTTTTTACTATAATCAAATACAAAGTAGTTTCTATCCAAACCCCTGTAAGAAAAGCCTAGGTCAGATACTCATAAGTATAATGGATATAAATGTTATAGTTTATAATCAATTTGTTCTAGAAATGTAAGGTGAAGTTGATAGCTTTACCATATTGGTCATTTTAATGATCACATATTAATGGAAGTAGCTTAATGGTCCAAACCAGATTTTAACCACCAATGGTCTGAGGAATCTTAAATTTGGAATTAAGTTAGCCCTGCCTTCTTAGCATCAACAAACACCAAACAATTCACTAGGTGATTGTGGCCCGACAAATGGTATGTGGGAAAGTCTAATATGTGTGGTGGCCAGAGATCTCATGGCTCAAATATTTCTTCTCCTTCAAAGTGCACATGTGTGTCACCATGCAAAAATTGTTTACACCTTTTGGTAAAGGGGCAACGCTACATTAAAGATTTAACTGAGTAGCTTCAGTTTACAAAGTACCTTGGAATCAAAGGCACTCAATAAAACTGAAAACACTAGCATGGTAGTAACTTAAAGCAAAGCACAGTAGTATTAAAGCATCTTACAACCCAAGTGTATTGTAAACCAAATATTCACTGTGGCATCTGCCTTTATTTAGACATTTTTCCTCTATTATGGAACCCGGATCTAAATGAACTGTTAAACACTTAGTCTAAAGGTATGCCAAACATTTCTTAAGGTCTTAACAAAGAATCAACTTTTTTTTTTTTAAACAAAACGAAGCCTAGGTTAAATATTTTATTTGGCTTCTCAAGATGGGCTGAAAAGTTGGGCACCAGCTCCAGACCAATTCCTGGACGCACATCAAACACAGTCCTGTCATTTATCCAGTCAGTCAAAACAATCTTTTCCATCTAACCCTTTAATGTCTATGTCCTTAAAAGCTGCTAATTGAATCCAGCCACTGAAATCTATTTGTTAAAATTCTATACCATCTAATTTGTAAATTAACAAAAATGGAAAAAATATATGCTAACTTTCCTGGTAAAACAGAAGAGAATCCACCACATGTACCCAAAAGGGAGAGTGCAATGATTTTAATATTAATAGTTTTCTCTTAGAATATGACAGAGATAAATTCCCAATGGCCTTAAGAAACTGAGAGTGCCTCAAGCTGTTTTGACAATTAAGGGGACACAGTGTAATTAAAGTTCCTCAGAAAAATATCTTAAAGTGCAAAATCACCCTGAAAATTTACTCCACTGTTCCCTCTTCCCACCTCCCCAAATAAATGTAATATTTTCTCTTGCATTTTTATAATGTATCATATGCAGCAAAGAAACCACAAATACACACTTTCAGAGACACTGAGTCACACTAAAAACCTCAGTCATTTTATTTGCAGGAAATCAAAATCCCTGTTTTCACCGTCATTTTCTCATTTGTACAAAAGGTAAAAGAAACGGCCAACAGCCTCTTTCTGATGCTTTTTGCACACCTGGAGTCACAGGTTCTTCCCATGATCATGGACACAGGACTGACGGCAGAGAGGAACAACAGCAAATAAACTCTAAAGCAACAAAGATCCCTTATAAAGGTGTCCATTAATCTTTAAGAAAGTGGATGGGGGCACTGGAGAGACAGGCATCCCCCAATCCAGGCTTTCCAGTAAGAATCACTCAATGCGTCTTTGCAATTTTCCCTATAGGGAAAGTAAAACTGTCACAAAAGTAAGATATTTTTTTAAATTGCAGCGAATACACAGCCAGGCTAAATTCTCAAATACCCAATTCACCGCAAGTTTTTATCCCAAAAGTCCAGCCAGTGGACCGGGATTTGACACACAAGCACACAATTGCAAAATCAGTCCACATAAACCTCAAAGTCTAGTGTCAGCTAACATAATGCGTGTCTGCTCTTACACGAGCACACATGCACCCACACGCGCACACGCACAGACCCTCTCGGGGACACCAACCCGCCGCACACCCAAATATCAACATTGAAAAGTTGCTTCTAATAAGAGTGACACTAGGATAGCTGCACCGGTTCCAATGACCCTTTTCAAACTAAAAATAATGTCCCCTTAAAATGGGATAACATTTTGTCAGAATACCAAAAATGGCCTTTTAAAAGGGCACAAAGTACCTGCGGTGTGAAAGCGTCGGCGCCCTTGGAATCAAAGCCCGTGGCAGGGGCGTCTTCCACCGAGCAGCCCCTCCAGACATTCTTTTCCATTGAGGAAAGGGAAGGGGCGGAGGGTGAGGGGCGAGAGAGCAACTTGGCTTCCAAGTTTGTCCGCGCGCACCGCGGCCAACGAACCCCCAAAAAGTGCGTTTTCAAAGCAGGTCAAGAGTCACAAGGGAGACGGGCGCGCCGCGGCCTACAGGGAACAGCCCGAACCGCGCGGCCCGCGACCTCACGCCTCCCGGAGCCGGCGCCGCGCGGGCCGGGCAGACACCGCGGCGGGGCCGCCGCCCTCCAGGCCGCGGGGCTCAGGTGCGCGCGGCGGGCACGGAGGCGGCGCGCGCGGGCGAGGCGGGCGAGCAAGTTCCCCGGCGGGGCGCACCGCCCGCGCCCGCGCTCCATCTTTGAGGGGTGTTTACCGCGCGCGGCGGCCGCCGCCCCCCGCGGGACCCCGCCGCCCCCCGCGACCCCGCCCGGGCGCCCCCCCGGCCCGCGACGGCCGCGCTCGCACCCGGCCCCCGGCCTCCCGCGCGCCCGCCCCGCCACAAAGACCCCCGGGGCCCCGGACGGCGCGGGGCGCTCCCCGCCGCGGCCGAGGGGAGCCGCCGCCCCCCGCCAGGCCGCCCCCGCCCGCGCCCCCGCCCGCCTCACCTGTCAGGCGCAGCTTGACCGGCCCGTTCCTCCGGCCCCCGGGGTTAGACATGTCCCCGGCGGCGGGGCGGCCGGCGCGGGGCCCGGGGCCGGCGCTGCGGGCGGGCGGGGGCGACGGCGACGCGCGGCGGAGTCACCACAGCGGCCGGGGCTGCGGCCCGAGCAGCCGGCGCCGCGGCCGCCGCGGCCGGAGGGTCCCGGATGTGCCGAGCGGCGTCGCCATGAGCCGCGGAGGGAGCGGGACGCGCGCCCCCTCCTCCCGCCCGCCGGCCCGGGCCGCACAACAAAGCGGCCGCCGCGGCCGCCGCGCCGCCTCCGCCCGCGCCCGCCGCCCCGCGCGGCCGCCTCTGCCCGGCCCTCGGCGCGGCCCGGCGCGGCCCAGGCTCCGGCGCGGCTGGTCGGCTGAGGCGGGCGGTGCTCGGCGGCGCCGGAGCAGACGCGGGGACCGGCCGCTTCCTCTTCCACCCGCCCTCTTGTCTGAGGGAGCCGGGTCCGGGGGCCGCCGCCGCCACTCGTCTGCCGGGGGGCGGGGAGGAGACGGGAGGCGGGGCCGGGCCGGGGGCGGGGCCGCGGAGGGGGCGGGGCGGGGCCGAGGCGGAGGGGCGGGGCCGGGGCGGAGGGGCGGGGCCGGGGCGGAGGGGCGGGGCCGGGCGGGCGGGGCCGAGCGGGCGTGCGCAGGGTGCGGGCCCGCGGGTGGCGCCAGGCCGGGGCTCAGCCTGGGCTGCGGCGGTCGGCGGCGTGGTGAGCTGCCGCTGGGGTCCCACGCAGAGCTTGAGGAAGGAGCGAGCAAAGGCACAAAGTGGCAGCGCGGACCCCTTTGGCACCAGGAGCGGCTGGAGAGCTTTTGCCTGTGCAAGGCAGGCTGCATTTATTAGACGCCCACTGTGTGCACCCGCTCTGGGAGGCGGGGGCGAGCAAGGTTAGAACAGGAGTCCCTTGTCCTCCGAGAATTTAGCGTCTCTCGGGCGAGGGAAGAGAGATTATTCCCATATCCAGGGTTCCAGCAAATCCCCAGGGGTGTTTTGCTCCTGGTATCCTAGTTGCCAACCTCCACCCAGGACTCACCTGGTGAACTAGATCAGGTTACCTGCCTGCTTGAGCTCTTTTTCCAGCTGTAGAGCAAGGGTAGCAGGGTGGTAATCATGCCTTCAAGGATTATTAACAAGATGAACGTTGGAGAGCAATGTGTGAAAAGCTTTTCATACAGTACGGTATTTCGTTATCTCAGGAGGAAAAATAAAATATGAAATAAAAGTGAGTGTACCTTACTCTTTGACCCCGTGACTGCACACCTAGGAATTTGTTCTTGACGAGTAATAATACAGAAGACCTTCTTTGCAAAGTTCTGGAATAACAAACGTGAATGAGAGAACAGCCTAATGGTGAATTACATTACATCAGCCGCGTGGATTTTTATGCAACCATTTTTAATGATAGTTATGAAGATCATATAATATGGAAGACTTTATACATAATCAAAGTTTAAAACTAGAATAAAAAGTTGTGTGGTTGTATGCAAAAGTATCTAGCACAATGAAACTAAGGATAACAGTGTGGGTGGGATTTTTTTGTGTGCTGTGTGAGTTTTGCTTCGGGCTATTATAATATTAGTGCCGTTTTAAACATTTAATAAAGTCCAGTATATTTTAATTCAGCAATGATATCACTTCATTCTCCAGATGAAGAAAGCTCCAAGAGCACCTTCTCAGTCTGGATACAGCTCTACAATTAAAGTCATCCAAAAATTATATAAATTCAGAGGGCAATGCTAGAAATTCACTCAATAAATTCTGAGTGCTACCGTGTACAAAGCAGGGAACAAGGTCCTTTAGAAATGCTTCTTTGTGTCACAGAAGATCTAAAGATACACTAATCAATTTGAACAATAGCTGCTGTAACAATTTAAGACACTGGATGGAGAATGGTAATAAAACATAACAAACTGATATATTCATACACACTTTGTTCCTAACCACCCACTAACATAATTGGTAGCTCTGCATTAGGTCATAGAAATTAGGGTTTCAGAACATAAGCAGGGAGCTGGGGAAACTGCCTGTTGTGAAGTTTGAGCTGTACATTCAAATATGTGACAGGGCAGAAAAATGCATACATGCATAATATATACAGGAGGATTCTGTTTAGGCTTGCCTGTGTGTAAGTTTAAATTCCATTGTTTAAAATGAAAGATTCAGATAAGAATAAACTTAAACCCATTCATGCTGTTAAGGAGAGCTGAAATTTCACTAGATTAAATTCCAGCATTAGATTCATAGCTTTACTTCATCTTGCAATACTTTTAGATATATTTTTGAGAACAAAGGGAGGAATAATGATTCCAAAGGAACTCATCATTTCCTTCCTTCCTTCCTTCCTTCCTTCCTTCCTTCCTTCCTTCCTTCCTTCCTTCCTTCCTTCCTTCCTTCCTTCCTTCCTTTCTATTTATTCAGGGCCTCCCCAGTGGCTCAGCGGTTGAGCGCTGGGCTGCGAAGGTGCCCGCAGCCTCTGCAGCGCCGGTTCATCCCGGGTGGCCGGCGAGGGTCCCACATGACGCACAGACCTCTCCTGCCGCACCTGCTGCTCCCCTCAGCAGTGTATTTCCTCGGTCTGCCTGTTCTGCTCCCCACTCTGGCTCTGGTGAATTCTCTCACCCTCCCGCGCTTCTGACTGTACCCAGTGCTTGTATAAATAAATCTTTTTTAAAAATAAAATAAAATAAATATTTATTTATTTGTGCATACAAGAGCTGGGGTACAGGCCAGAGGTGGGGGGAGGGTGAGAGAATTCACCAGAGACAGAGTGGGGAGCAGAACAGTCAGATCAACTGAGATACACTGCTGAGGGGAGCAGCGGGGGACAGGAGAGGTCTGCTGCGCCACGTGGGTCACCTCCCTGGCCAGGGATCGAACTCGTGCTGCAGTAGCTGCAGATAGCTTCATAGTGCTGAAACTCAACCCCTTGTGCCACCAGGGAAGCCTTCACCCTTTTCTTTTTCCCTAGAAATCCACCACTTCTGGTGTAAATTGTACCTAATGGGTATGGGAATTGCAGAAAATCTTTTCAAAACCTATTTATTCCCTGATGGCTTCTAATTTGCTCTCTGTAGAATTGTGCACCTTTTGTCAAATCATAGTTTCAGGCCTCTGTCTCAAATATGGTAAGGCAACCAATCTCATACCAGCAACATTTTTCCATAAATGCTTCTTAATAGAATCTTCCAATGAAAATACTGCGACAACAATTCATTAGAAAGCATTCTGAACCAAAGTTTTTGGCATTTTCATTAATTTACTAATTACTTAAAGTTGCATTCTTTATGATGGTATCCTAGACCAAAGGTGAAAATCTACACATGGTTATAAGAATATATAAAACCTTTTGTTTAAAACATGTTTCTGTTTTCCAAGGCTAATGTTAAATTTGATGTGACTTTGCAAGAAAATGCTTACCATCTGTAGTTGGTATTTTTCTTCTGTTCCAGCCATTAATATTTTTTTTTACATAGGAGAGTTGTCTCCAGTAATAAAAAAATCCGTCTGAGGTAAGGTTATGTTAATAATGGTACTCCTGTGAAGCTATTTTTGTCGTTTAAATTTTAAATTTAATACAGTTTATGTACCATGGGAAAAAAGCAAGCGTCAGACACTCAGCAGTTAATAGCACTGCTTAAAATTCAACTTTCTTTAATATGTAAAATGTGATTAGTTCAATTTAATTTAATTTCATATTTAGTTCTAGCTTCCTCCAAATCAGCTAAAGCAGCCAGGCACAGCCACATGGACTTCCCATTATCATCACCCTGATCTTCCTCCCCCATTACCACTCATTTTCTCTCTGCGTCTACAGAGAGGTCATCAAAGTTGGGTTCCCTAAAAGCCCTTCTATACAGTCCTATCCTCACTGGATTTAGGAATCGGTCACATTCTAAGCTGTTCTCTGAGATCCCCTCCCAGCAAACCTGGTCTGCAGAGGTGGAAGCTGAGCTTGCATCCTGGACCTGCGTCTTTCCAGGTCTAGATAGCCCTGCCATAGGCCTTAGCTCTTGCTCATGCCACTTGCTTCGTAGCCTCTGCCTTGGTGTACTAAAACAGTAGTCCCTATCCATGCCCTCTTCTCAGAAAATCTACCCTCATCTATTGCTCTAACACAGTGTCCTAAACTCCAACCCCAGAAACACTGATATAATCCGTTGGGCTGAGGTAGATGAATTTGCATTCCAAATGCTGCTGGTGGGGAGAACCCTCTTTGAGAACCACTGCCTTACAGCAGGGATGGACCTGCGTGAACTTGAGTAAACTTGGTGAGTTTGACCTCAGCTGACAGCCAAAAGTAGGTGGCTGACCACTATGCCCATCAGGGTTTCTTGCTTGGGAACAGGAAATGGAATACTAGGAGACTGAATTAAGGAAGGGCAGCTGAGTTGAGTGGTCCTAGAATTAGCAACTAGAATTGTACCTTTTAAGGTAAAACACGGCCAATTAATAAGAGGTTATGCATCCATAGAATGAGACCAACAGAGAGAAGTAGAGAAGAGGTTTCCTAACTCTAGAGAAAGAGACAAAGACAGGGCCTCCCCGGTGGCGCAGTGGTTGAGCGCTGGGTTGCGAAGCTGCCCGCGGCCTCTGTGGCGCCGGTTCGATCCCTGGCTGCTCCCCGGCCACCGGAGGAGGGTCCCACATGGCGCGCAGACCTCTCCTGCCGCCCGCTGCTCCCCTCAGCAGTGTACTTCGGTCCTTCTACCTGCTCTGCTCCCCGCTCTGGCTCTGGTGAATTCTCTCACCCTCCCGCGCTTCTGACTGTACCCAGTGCATGTATAAACAAAACAAACAAACAAACCAGCAAACAAATAAATAAAGCATGCCTTATAAAAAAAAAAAAAAAAAAAAAAAAAAAAAAAAAAAAAAGAAAGAGACAAAGACAGTGTTTGTCTGAAGATTCCCTTCCAATACTCCTGGTCCAGATGTATTTCTTACAATTGGTTTCCAAGGGATCTCGCTGCGGAATAGCCACGCCCCTACTTCTCCAGGAAGTCCAGGTGGGCCCTGGTGCATTCACTTTGCTCCCACTTGGAACACCTTTTCTTCTTCCGGCCACTCTAAGCTCTTCCCCAAGCGCTCTGGATTGCCTGCCTTGCTCCAGCCCGTGTTCTCCCTGAGAATGGAGTCACCTGCTCTCAGCCTGTGGCATGGATCCTACCACCCATGAGCAGCACTTTTAGAAACTAGAGGAGTCTAATACATAGGACTATTGTAC